AACTGAGGATTAACGATGTGTTACTTTTTGAAGTGCATCTCCTAGCATGGGTTGATCGATAAGTAGAGAACATTCATCACCCGTCAGTTGTGAAGGATATTATAAGATAAACACTCTCATATTCCCTCACTTTTTTTTGTAAGACATTTGATTGGGAAAAATTCCAATCGAAATTGGTATTTCAATTCATAAAAGCCTTATAAGATGTTTTTAATTGAATTTACCCCCCAGGAATTTCACGTGTGTCACCTTTAACTGACGGCATTAGGCTGAAACTCATTTTCCACTTCAGTACTATAAATATCGTTCCTTTTTAAGAGGTATCAAATGATCTAAAAATGAAGCGTGAGTATTAGTATTATTTTCAGTACAAGTTGTCTTGTTATTGAACAATCATTAAGAATCGCTCCGAATATTTTACAACACTTTCCTCCTTATGTATCTAGAGTAAGTTTATGCAGCACTCTCCCCTGCATTAATATTTTAACCACCTCTTCCAAATAAATTTGGAAGGCCTCAATAGGAGATAAAAAGCAATTTTTCATTTTGTAAATATAACCCCTTATTATATTCAATTTTCAAAATCTGCTTAGAATTCCTTAAATACTTTGCTTCCAGATTTAACTGCCTTCAAAATATAGAAGGCGAATATTGTTCTCAAAATAAATAAGTTACAAAAATATTTTATTAATTTTTTTATAAAAACATTCTATNAGTTCTAACTAATAAATTGAACAATCAAGTTCTTTGTGAGAAAAAACAGAAAGGCAATACATATTCATATAATTCATTACAATAAGAGACGAAAATCGATTATAATAAAGACAGGGGTTTCAACCAATGGAGAATTTGAAAGCCTCTCAAATAGTTTTCAGAAGGTACAAATTTTTGATTTTTTTTCCCCTGAAACTCTCGGGAATATCGAGAAAACTTGAATTTTATGATATTACATAAACATTAACGATCAAAAATTGCTATAAAAAATACAGACCTGCATTTAAGATTCCAAAGTAGAGGATGTTCAAAATCAGATGACATCAAGTCGATTTCATTCAATAGTACCCGAATATAGGCAACTTTGACACAATTTACCTACTTTCTATCTCTTATAGTTTACGAGATCTCCAAACACAAGCTCGAATTTTTATAGCTCTTTATATCTGACAGAACGATTTTGTTGAATCAAGGCTGTTGTCTCCAACATACCATATCTCAAATGAGACTCTATCAAGGTATGATAAACGGCTTTTGCAGCTGAGAACCCAAGTTAATTACTAGACATCAGCAAAGAAGCCTGTTCATTTTTCATGTTCAATATGTATATGATTTCAAATTTTAACTTATGGTCTACACATGGTAAGCTCAAGGTCTCTGCCCACTATACCGTACCAACCATGGCCGTGCTAGGACCGTATCAGACAAGGAAAATAACATGACACGGCCCCTTACCCACTGTAATGAATCAACTGTGTTCTAAGCCCATAAGCAACACATATAATGACCGTATCATATAGGTATGATGACCGTTAGATACCCGTTTGACAACTGTAGGTAATATGAAGTATTGTATGTTATTCCGGATTATCTGCTCGAAAATTGGCATTGGTAGCTATTATTTTTGACGATGAAGCAGAAACTCAAAAAAGACCCGACGCTATTGGATTCACCACTCTTCAAGATAACGAGAAAGTGAAGGAGAATATTGAACATTATTTAAGATATTTAGTTGATGATGAGGAAACATTTTTTCAGTATTTTCGAATGTTTACATTTCAATGGAATGTATAGCTGAATAAAATTGAAAATGATTTACAATACGTTTATACACCGTTTCGCTGGCGGAGACCTATGGTTTAGCAACGTTACGTGCCATGCTTGTTGCCTATCAGCACCGGCAAAATATTCTTGACTCGAATACTGTGATAGCACGTGCATGCTACGCTACGTGCCGGACCGGTGACGGAACGGTCTAGTGGGCGTTGGTTCATATAAATTGTATAAAAGAATATTTTTTAGCATGTGTCGGTACGTTTAAGGTCATGGTTTGGTACGGTATAGTGGCCAGAGACCTGTATCCAAATTCAACAACTTCATCCAATAATTCAATTATGGCCAGACGGTAGCTAGTTAATTATTGAACTTCACTATGAAACCACAGATAGAGTAAATACTAATTCGATGATTTCTTTGGGACGATGAATCTTCATTGTCTGAAAAACCTGGTTTTTACTTCAACACATTTTAAAATAATTTCACTTTTACTTGTTTACTCGTCACTTGGTAGGACTATTCTCCGAACTGATTTCCAAGCTGACTGTATCTATCTCTAAAACTCACTGCCTCTTATATACATGTCATTAGGACATGTATACATGTCATTGTTCAAACTATTTTCGTTCCTTGAAGAAGAAACTGGCATGTTCCTATGGTGATGATGTGACGTTACGATACTTCGATCGTACCCTTTAGACAACAGAAATGAACCATACACGTTTTATTTGATGTACATTTCAAAATTTCAATGCGTTGGGTTAATCTAACTACCTCTAAGGAAGAGTCCTGTAGATAATTTTTTTCATTATTAAAAAAAGGCAAAGAAACAATATATACAGGTGTAATATTCATTCNAAACAATATATACAGATGTAATATTCATGTTCACTTTTTATTGAGTAATTTTATTTTCACGTAAATATAAAATTGTTTAAAATGCATAAAAAATTATTTGTCAAACTGTAAAATGTGGTTGGTGGTGATGAAATAAAATTTGGAGAATTCAACTTCCTAGTATAAATGCCTGCATTTTCATTGGGCAAATCTCTTGATTTCCATTTAAATCAACTTGAGTGCCTACTGTCAAGAAAGACAATGACGTTTTGTACAACTTTTTATTCATATCACCAGGAATCAAGTTGCTAACATTCACCTGAAAGTATATGAAAATCAGTGTACCCAGCTATGTTAATGTAATATTTACTGGAATTTGTTTCGCGGTACTAAGATGAAAAGTTAAATTTAAGCAAAACATAAAGACAAATACAGATTAGTTATACATATGGAAGTGTTTTGTATAAATTCCTCGATTAATCAAAATATACTCGACTACAAATCAGAACAAAATGATAAATTTGATTCTGCAAAAAAGGAATTTTATGAGGTTTTTCTTGAAATTACGAGAAACAATGTGGGAATTTTTAAAATAGCTTCTCTATTCTGAAAGAGAAACATCAATGAAAGCTTCGGAAAAGGATTAGGACACTATAAAATTGTAGTAGGTGGTAATATACCAGCCTATCAGACAAGAGAGAATAATATTTTTTTAAAAATTTTTTTGGTGTATAAAAAAACCATTACCGATTCTGAAAGGACAAATTTTTAACTTTTGAGCAGTGATGTTTCAAAGATCACAGAAAAATTCTAATTGTCACTCATCTTCCTAGAGTTCTATAATCCTACTGACAAGAGAGTTATGTCACTCCAGCTTGGTTGGTGTAACACAAGTCGAGAGTATTACATTTCTGGTGACTGGGAAAAGTGCTTGTTCTGGATCTGTTTGTTTTGATACAAATATTAA